GCCACACCACAATCCCTTCTCCTCCATTATTCTTTTGGGATCTTGGGCACACACGCACACGCGCCCATCCAGTTTTAAGCCACCAGGTCTGGGACTCGAACTGCAGTCAACTACATGGGAGTCCAGCAACATGGCCATTATGCCAAGTGCTGGTCCCCTCATTTATTCTGAGACCGAAGATAAAATATATTGCGTAAAACAGTCTCACATTAGTGGACCTTCCAGGAAACTGAAAAAGAGACTGTTCTGAGCCAGAGGACACAAAAAGAAAACAGCACTAAGCATCAGAAGAAGTAGCTTCGGGCCAGCAGTTGACATGGTGGTTAAGGTGCTAGATCTCACATGGTCCACTCTATAGCTCGAGTCCTGGATCCAGCAGTATGAAAAACACACTGGGCACGTATGTGTGCATGCCCAAAATCCCGTGGGGAGAACGGAGAAGGGATTGTGGTGTGGTCATCCCCTTTGAGGGGTGATTTCTCACTTTCCATCTCTCTAGTAAGCACGTGGGCTCTATGGCAAAAATCTGAAGCAAAAAAAAAGCAGCAGCAGTTTCAACGCGATTGACCTTGATATAAGCTAAAACAACCTCCTTTTCTACAGAAGAAAGCAACCCTCAAAAGAGAGGCTCCATAGAATCCTAATTCTGCCCTGGGAAACCTGGAAGCAGGCCAGGGAGTTGCTTTTCTGTGTTTCTCAGTAAATGACATGCATGTACAAAGTGTCCCCTGCCAGACAGTTAACCTCTTGAAGGCGAGTGCAGTGTTGCTTTTGTATTCTCCAAAATCAAGCATGATCAAGTGACAAATGGCTATGAATTAAGTACATAAATTCTGGCATAACTCTACCGCAATCCAGTAAATTAAGCAAGGTCAATGGACGGGCAATTACCACCCTCCTGTGGAAGTAATTTTGCTGCAGGGCTATGATAATTTTTGCTATAGGGCATATAAATTTACCAGAGTAAGAAAGTGCTCCCTATGGGAGATGGCCATGCCACAGTCCCTCCTCCTCCATTCTCCTCTCAAAATTTTGGGCATGCACACACTCACACACACACACCCAGTGTGCTTGTCCAACCACAGAGTCCAGGATGGAGCTGCACAGCCACCCATGTGGGAATCGGCCACTTTAGCCATCATACCACCAGCTGGCCCAAGGTAACATTTATTTTTAATAATTCATACCTGTTGGGACCAGGAGATAGTGTAATGGTTACATCCCTGGACTCTCACATAATTGACTGCAGTTCAAGTCCCAGACCTGGTGGCTTAAACTCATGCCAGACACGTATGCGTGTGTGTTCAAAATTCCAAGAGAAGAATGGAAGAGAAGGGACTGTGGTGTGGTCATCCCCCTCACCCAAGGGGATGATTTTCTGCTTTCTGTCTGTCTCTCTGGTGAGCGCACACACCCTATAGCAAAAATCTCTCTTAAAAAATTTTTAAAAATCGGGACCAGCAGTTAGCGCAATGGCTATGTCGCTGGACTCCCACGTAGTCGACCGTGGTTAGCGTCCCGGACCCGGTGGCTTAAAATTCATGCAGGCGCATGCGCGTGTGTGCCCAAGATCCCAAGAGGAGAATGGAGGAGAAGGGATTGCGGCGTGGCCATCCCCCCTGGGGGGTGATTTCTCACTTTCTGTCTCTCTGTCTCTCTCTGTCTGTCTGGCGAGCGCACGCACCCTATAGCTAAAACCTCTAAAAAAATTTTTTTAAATTCATATCTATTAACTCCATAAACCCATTTGTCAGAATATATCCTAATTTGGGGTGGGAGGTAAAAAAAAAAAAAAAGAATATATCCTAATCTGATAATCCAAGATACTTGCATAAAAATCTTAATTATTTCTTAAATTAGTAGAATGTAATTGAATGTATTCTACATGTGTAAGAATTAAGGAATTATTAAGTAGTTACTGGTGTCATGCTCAACAAAATACCATACAAATATTAAAATGATAATTCTCCATTCTGTGTAACAAAATTAAAATGTCAATGATGGGGACCAACAGGTGGCATGGTGGTTAAGGCACTGGACACTCCCACATGGCTAACATGCTTCAAGTTCCGTACCTGGTGGCTTGCTTTCTCACTTTTCTTCTCTCTCTCTCTCTCTGGTCAAATTAAAATAAACTTCATTTATTTATTTTATTTTTTATTTTCAAATTTGACCAAAGAGGGACAGAGTGAGAGAGAGAGAGAGAGAGAGAGCAAGCCACCAGGTTCAGGACTTGAACTACAGTTGACCATGTGGGAGTCCAGCATTCTTAACCACCACACCACCTGCCGACTCCAAATAAAATAATTCTTTAAATAAAAAATAAAATTTCAGGACCAGTAGTTAGCGTAATGGCTATGTTGCTGGATTCCCACGTAGTCGAGCGTGGTTCGAGTCCCGGACCCAGCGGCTTAAACTCATGCTGGGTGAGTGTGCGTGCGTGCCCAAGATCCTGAGAGAAGAATGGAAGAGAAGGGATTGCGGCATGGCCATCCTCCCTGGGGGGTGATTTCTCGCTTTCTGTCTCTCCGTCTCTCTCTGTCTGCTGAGCGTACACGCCCTATAGCAAAAACCTCTCCAAAATAAAGAAAAAATAAATAAAAATTTAAAAAATTTTTCAATGATATAATTTTAAAGTAATACACAAGATTCACATCAATGTTGGGCTTTCCCAAGAGACAAAGAACAAAGCAAGGCTCCTTTGTTGACAAGGAATTTATAATAAGCGGAAATAAGGAGACAGGGCACAACAGCATCTGCAGCTAAGTCATGCCATGGAGTGAATGAAACATTGTTTGAGGCCTGGAGGTTACTCCAGCTGTCACTTCCTTGTGCTGTGTGGTCTCAGTACAAGGTGGTTGGGCTTCCTTCTTTGAGCTATCCTAGCCCCTCACTGTCTTCATTTCTATAGTTTGGTTTCTTTTACTCTCTACCTCAAGTAAGCCTCTGTTTTCCTATGACTTCCCACCACTTCACGTCTTTTATCACCTAATGGCTTCTGCTGATTTTTGCTTGCTCCCAGTTTTCTCTGTGTGTCTGAGACTTAAGCTCCTCAAGAAAGAGAGCCAGATTGCTTCATGTAATCACACCTGTTCTGGTAATGAGAGCTCTTAGGCCAGGTCACCTCATCATTCTGCTGGTCAGCAGTGTGTTAGCTGTGCTGCCATTAGGTGCCCACACTTGATCTAAGCCTGGCCACATGATATGAATATGAGAGATCCTTTCAGTACGCCAGCCACTTCTTTCATATGACTATGGGTTTTGAACAATGTTTAAAATAATATAAATAGGGCCAACTGGTAGCTGGTGGTTAAGGCAGCTGGGTCCCACCCACATGGCTGACTGGGTGGCTCGAGCTCTGGACTCAGCATGACCAAAATTCTGAAAGGAGAATGGAGAAGGGATTGTGATGTGGCTATCCCCCATAAGGAGTCTTTCCACTTTCCCTCCCTTTCTCTATCTCTCTTTGGTGAGTGCATGCACCTTCTAGCAAATAAAAAAAATGTTTTAAAATTATTTATATGTGAAAATAAATAGGAAAAGGATAAATCAAAATCACTGTAGTTATGCTAGGAAGGATTACAGGCAATTGTTTTTCTCCATTTTGAAAATTTCCATGAATGATACTGTACTTGTTTCTTAGATGTTGAGCATCTTTTACAAAAAAAAAAAAAAAAGGCTATTCACTTCTTTCTTCCATGAGCAAGAGAGAGAGAGAGAGAGAGATATCCCAATAGAGTCTTTAATCTGCAGTCTGTTCCCTACTTTCAGCCAATCCCAGATTATAAGCATGCATTCTCCTTAGGGTATTCAAGGAGGTCTCCAGACACAAACTCAGGCAGTCCTGTGTGGGTCATCCTTGCAGTGTTGTACTGCCACTGCCCAAACTGCTGCCCACTCCAACACTTTTTAAAAAGTAATCTACAGA